TACTACTATAAGTAGTATTACTAAAGTCTAAGGTGTTAGAAAATTCTACATACATACATAGATCAACATATATCGAATTAATAGTGACCGAATAACTTAGAATTCATTTTCAATTCACTAGAATAATCAACGTGTAAATTTACACGATACAAAACTACATTTTGTTCTTTCTTTTTTTATTCACTTCTCCTTCTTTTTTTCTTTTTTTTTCTTTTTTTTCTTCTGGTGAGTAAAATGTTTTTATGTAAATTAGATGAAAAGAAAATTGATAATTTAAAAAAATAATAAAGGAGAATATTAACGTTTTCATTCATTCATTCATTCATTCATTCATTCTTTCTTTCTTTCTTTCTTTCTTACTTTCTTGATATATCTATTTTTCATGCATGAAAAATTAATTAGTTGACCGAAAAATTTTCTTATCTTTGGTTCTTTTCTTTATAGGTCAAATAACAGTTTTAAGAAACGGTCGGTAATATTGATTTTGAGTGATTTTAGTAAAAGTGTACAGTGTTATTTTTCTCTCTCTTTCTCTCTCTTACTCTCTGAACAAAAAGCTCATTTGGCTTTTACCAACTTACGTCAGTAGTTATGACAAAAGCGAGATATTAATCAATCAATTAAGGATGAGTATATTGTGCGGTAGTTTGTTCTGTTTAACTTGGCTATTATGAGTAGAAGATATTTGTAAGCTATTAGTATTTGACAACAGATGCTTTAGAAATATTACTCTATTCTGCTGGGATCACTGGGTAATTAATAGTGAGATTAGACGTAGAGTATTAGGGAATGATGGTCAATCAGTTGATGACGTTGTAAATCTTCATCGACTGAGATGATTGGGCCACGTGTTGTGTTGCGTATATCTGAACACCGATTAACACGACGCGCAATGTTGACTAGTGTTGAGGATGGTTGGAAAGAAGTTAGGGGTGGCCAAAACAAAATGTGGCATCATTGCTTAAAGTCAATAAGTTCTAGTCTGATTCATGTTGTTAGATGCAGACTACTTGGTTGATGTTCGCGTGACTATCATACCCAATAGTTGGAGACTGTGTTTGATATTTGGCTCAGAATCGATCACAATGGAGTAGGTGTCTACATCCTTTGTCTTAACTTAAACTGTGAGCTGAAAATTGCTTTATATCTTTCTTTCTGTCAACTAATTCTTTCTTCCTGTACTATATCCTTATACACAATCTTTTATATATTACCACCACTGAATTAACTATAAAATGAATGACTATAAAATCATCTACACCTTAATAGATCATACAATTTAGATCGAACCTGTTAAATCATTGATTGATTACTGACTCGAGATATATAGTTAGTTATAGGTTATTTGGAATCTGGAGTATGTGTACATCGGTTCAAGTTGCCCCATTATATCAATCCAACAAGATCAACTTATAAAGACAAATCTCATAATAGGGGAAGTTGGAACTGTATTAGTGATATTAGAAAAAACTAGGCATGGACAATATGATTATAGAAGAAGGAATGAATTTTAAGATAATTTTTGAACTTAAGATCCACTAGAAGATGTAGATTGAATAAAGGTATCTTAAGGGGTGATAGTGATATATGAGATGTTATCTACTTCCCGTTTATTAACACTGTTAAAGCATGCTTCTTTTGGTCGCTGAAAAAGAAATCATTTTAAGTGTTGATCTTGACCGCCTGGATATATAATTACAAAAACCGACAGATGACTGCTTGAGGCTGTTTATACGCATCTATTTTATGAATTATTTTCAAATGTTCTAAAAGAAGACAAGTGGTGAGCGCGTTTACGTCATTGCAGCAGGTTTTGAACCATATCACCCAAAATCCCTAACGATTGGTTACGATTATCTTGTAAACCCTAACGAGGTAGTCTACACTTACTATCATGGCTCAATTCAACAGCCACTGACTTCATGCACTGCTATATGCAGTACAGAGCGTGAAATAAATAGATTAAATACTAAGTGTATGGTAACAGAAGTAGGGTAACCCATAGTTGTGTTTACGCTGACACACATATATCCTTCCGTTGGCTGGATAAACTTGTTTGGATTGATTTCCTAACTCAAAGTATAACCAGATAATTGAGATCATGAATTGATGAATGTTAGACCACCATTGAAAACCTAGGAGCACTAGATGGCCGTTTCGTCCCGATATGGAAGTCCTCAGCAGTGCGCATCCATGATTTCGCAGGGGGGTTCGAGCCCAAGACCTTAAGTCTCGCGGGCTAAAGCCTAACATTCAGACCAGTGGGCCGATATCCAGTGATGTTCAAGTTTCAATTCAACCAATTCACGATATTGCGCGACTATCAGATATTCAGATCAGCACTTTCTGTATATGTCTTCATTGAAACTGGTTTATTCAAGGAGTTAAATCATTACTTAAGTATTTCTTGAAGATCCATGTGAATTAATGTTTACTCGTCACAAATAGACCATCTGGATATATTTGGAAACTAATAGGTAGCTGTTTCGTCCTAGTATAGGACTTCTTATCAGCACACACCTAAGTCTATGTATATTTTTAAATCGGAAAGCTTTAAACCTAACCAAAAGCATGATGTCTTTAAACTAGCAAACTAAAAGCCGTTAATTTCAGTGTGGTCAACCCGGTGTATATGATTTCACAGGTGTACAGTACTAACTATATATGACAATACAAAGTTTAAAACTTTCATTGGTTCTCTGACTGATGTTATTTCACACCAGAAGCTATTTTCAAACTTGATAAATCCCTGGACAAAATATTTTATCAGTCAGTCAGTCAGTCAGCTACAACGTAGGACCAGGCACATATGTGCATCGGTCCAGGTTGCCATACCGCATCAGCACAACAAGATGAACACCGGATTCATAGCAGTGGTTAGGTCAAAGGTAGTAATATGTAAGAGAAAGACTGCATATAGAGATATAGTACAAGAAGAAAGAATTGGTTCGTAGAAAGAAAGATATGAAGTGATTTTAATCTCTTAGTTTAAGAGAAGACAGGGAGTGTATACACCGACGCCATTGTGATCGATTCTGAGCCATGTCACCAAGAGTCTCCAACCATTGGTTACGATAGTCACGCGGACCCCAACCAAGTAGTCTGCATCTACCAACATGGCTCAGACTAGACGTTAGTGACTTCAAGCACTGATGCCACGTTTTGGTTTGGCCGCCCCTAACTTTCTTCCAACCATCTCCAATACCGGATAGCATTGCACGTCGTGGTAATCGGTATTCAGGCATACGTAACACGTAGCCCAACCATCTCAGTCGATGAAGATTCATAACCTCATCAACTGATTTACCATCATTCCCTAATACCCTGCGTCTAACCTCACTATTACTTACCCAGTGATCCCAGCAGACGCCAGCAATATTTCTAAGGCATCTGTGGTCAAATACTAGTAGCTTAAGAGTGTCTTCTACTCTTAATGGCCATGTTTCGCTGCCGTAAATTAAAACAGAACGGACTGCCGCGCAGTATACTCGTCCTTTTATTGATAGACGGATATCTCGCCTTCGCCATAGGTGGCGCATATACTCGTGAAAATTAGAAAGCACTGGTTAGATGTTTCTCTCAATGAGGGAAAACTGAACAGTCTGTGTCCAAGAAAGTCATACATTTCTGAGATATTCTGTAACTAGTTAACTAAAGAAACATGGTACCTCATTCATTTAGTCTGAAAGTAACCTTGTTAAATCATCTGATATGGTGTTAGGAACCAAAAAGTATTAGTCATCTTTTTCATCATTTTTCCCATCTTTTCAATTATGCTCAATCAAGCAAGATCTTAAAAGGAATCAAGCTTTATATGTGTCATTTTTAATATTCACATGAGCACAAATATTGATCAATCTCACATTCATTCGTTAATCAATTCAACTAAAAACTAACTTGCTTTTTAAATTTCAGTAGCCTTTTCAAACATTTAGACCATCTACTCTTCAAATTGTGCAAATATTCCATGTAACCTTTATGGTTTAGTTTCATCTAATTAATTATGAATGCTAAATTGTATGTACCCACGTATCATTATTATTAGAAAAAAAACAAGCTTGTAACTTACCGCAATGAGAGGAAACACCTACAGTTTTTGACATATTTTCTTTACCTATTCTTTAAGAAAAAAAAACCCACAAAAGAATAGATTACAATTTATACATTTTAATACTTGAATGGATGAGTGGAAAATCATACTGGGTAACAGTTGAACTAGTAGAAATGTTTGATAATTGAGAATAGATTTCTATAAATAAATACGATCTGAATAGAATGGGGGTAGGTGTGGAGATTGTAATAGTTTTAATAGTTGAATTCATGAGTCAATCTAAGCTATATCGCTATGACAAACCTAAAAGCACTGGAATGCCATTTCGTCCCAGTATGGAACTCCTCAGTATTGCACCTCCGCGATCCCGTACATAGGACTCGAAATCTAGACCTTCGGTTTCATGCGCGAGTGCTTAACTTCTAGACCATTGGAGCCGACATAACTAACTTCAACCAATCTATCATATTGCACGACCGTCCGTCATTGTCTTCAGTGAGTTACTACCTCACAACAGACACGGTTAAACTCCACTGGTCACGGATGTGCACTGCTAAGGATTCCCATACTAGGATGAAACGGACGTCCAGTGCTTCCAGGTTTTTAATGGTGGTCTCGCTTAAATCGATTCATGATTCCAACTATTACGAAAGAAATTCCTCTAAGTATCATATAACTGATGCTACAAAATTTTCTACTGTAACAAAATTTCAAGCGTTAATTAAACCCATTATTATTCCTGCTTCGGTTTGGGCACCCTGGTAGTATCCCAGCCCTCACACAAATCGAATGATTATGTGACGCATGTCTGTTTGGTGCCTCTTTTGTACCAATGTTTATGTGTTTAAATAATATTGTTATAATTACGTTATTTCCATAAATTTATTCATTTTTTTTTCTAATCGAATTCAAGTGTTCAACTAACTGATTTCAATTAAATGTAACTACAATGTTAACTCAATCACCTGTACAAGAAACTTCATTAAATTATCAACATGTAAATTCAACAACAAAACGACAATTGTCATCATTTCCAATTTCAAATCAACAATCTTTACCAATAACACATCAAGAAGTTGCAGTTACATCAAATTTAATAGATATACAACAACAAAATCAATCTATACCATCTAAAGATCGTCCATTAAGTGATGCAGATCTTACTTTGAATAAAATTAAATCTCCTTCTGGAATTCCTCGATTGTTCTCTTTGAATGATTCGATTGCTAACAGATTAAATAATAATAATAATAATAAAAGTAGTAACAATAATAATAATTCATCTCCAAATAATTCTCCAAATGAACAAAATGATGAGAATCACATGTCAAATGGTAATGCTTGTAACACTAATAATACTACAACCAATTATACAAATACGAATACGAATAATAATCATAATTCGATATATTCAAACAATATCTCAACCGATCATGCGACATTACAATCAAATTCATCTTATCCACAAAAATCTTTACCAACAAAGTATAATACATTATCATCACCAAATGGTTCTGGTAATCAACGTGTTAGCCGACCACGTACTATTAATACAATACAACCAGGGAATAGACAAGATCGAACAATGTCTGAACGTAAGTTATTTTTGTTTGTGTTTCATTTATCTGTAGTTTATTTAATCGCTTTTTAATGTATTTCAGTTACGACATAAGTACAAGTAATATGGATTTGTGTTAGGTAGTTAGAGTTAGTTAACAAAAAATCCTATTTGATCTAGATTTTATGCTAGTAGACACCTGTCAACGAGATATACCTGGAGTCTTCAGAAAATTGATGCACACTCTGATATTCCAACCTAGTTTCGCAATCTGAGACGCATTATTGAGTTTATGAAATATCACTTACTTCTGTCGAGACCGGTGTACCTACTCTGATTGATCGCCGATTACTGACTAATGTTCTCAATATCGATTCCATCTTAACATTGACCGAATTCTATCTATAAGGTTATAATTTTACCACTAGTGTAAGTGACTCGAATTCGTGTGCACTATGTTGAGACTTGAGGTAGTGGTTGGAAATAGTGAATAAGAAATACTAAACCTAGATTTTATGCTCTTTGAAACTTATCAGCAAGGTGTACTTGTAATCTTGCAATTTGATCAATGAAATCCCATTATCATATAATGAGTACTTGAGATACATGAAATTCGTCACTACTCAGTGATCAATGAATTCTAAGTGCATTTCAGTCCCACATGAGTTCATTCATGATTCAAAAAGCTCAGTAGTGATGCCCCCGTCTGTGCAGTTGGATTACATTAGATTGAATTCACTAGAGTACATCAGTTCCCTCAAGATTACGTACGCACCTTACTGACACAAGTGCTTTATGTTAAGAAACTCAAGTCAAGTAGGATTTCTTGTTGGCTACTTCCAACTGCCACCTCACATAGATTACACGGTGTCATGGAGCAATAGATAAATGCAGTAAAAGTATATTTTAGGGACGAGATAATCAGGATGGAGAACACGAATTTTAAGTTTTTCTGTTGAATTCAAATATTTCATATGAAAAACAGTAAAATGGTTTTCATAATACTACCAATAGTGCTTGAAAGGTTCAAGGAAAATTAATTTTAGCAACCCAAAAAATAAAAATGATACTATTCAACATATTATATTCACAATTCTATCACTTCAGATTGTATATAACTGGCACGTTGACACTATCCATAAATCTTAACTCTTAACACCTAATCCTGAAATAAACTTTAATCTTGTAATGTTCTATGACCGGTCAAATATCACTTGACACAATTGTCGATCTAAACACCGACTTCTATGACCATTTTTCTCTCCTAAACGAATGACATGTCAAACAGCACTACCAACCTTGAGTCAACTCTAAATCCTTATTAGTCCTTTATATAGCCACGTTCGTTGGGTCCAGAACACAATAATCAGTCCTCTTAATCATTAATCCGTTAAGAGATCGCATATACGAAGTTTAGGTATCACTTGTGTACACTTTATGTGAGCGTAAATTATGGGATTTAGCGCATAATCAAGGTTGTGGTTTTATGACTGGAAAGTACTTTCACCTTATAACTAATTCTTAACCATAACTTTCGTAGATCTATAAATAAAGTGATAGGAGCATAACTAATGAACTAAATAAACAGATTTAAGATAATGCTTGTTGAAATTCATTCATTCTTATCGCTACTAAACATTCTTGCATTAAAGTTGATGTCAATTCGTGATAAAAACATCCTAATCTTATGTATTTTTCGTTTACTTATCGTAAATAACTCAACATGGTTAAGGTTAATTAATTAATTATGTCAGAAATACTTATTTACTGCAATTGTATTACTTTATATAGTGAATTGTTTCTGTTGGAGAGATTCAAAAAACTACTCGAAAAAAAAATCCAGGAAAGGCTCTGAAAACACTGAGAAGCATCTTATCCAATCAGTGTTCACTAGAAGTCTTGTCAGAAACATCTAGAAACTGGAAAGTCACAGGGTAAACCATCCATCTATTTCTCCATCATAGTTTGAGATTGTTTAAAAAGATCTATCATGAATTGTGTTTTTACGATAGTTACTAGTATAGAAGTAGGTTAGAAGAAAGCTGGAAGCTGCCAAACCAAAACGCGACATCATTTCAAGAGGTTATTGATTTTTGTCCTGAGCCTTGTCGTTAGACGATGACTATCTGGTTAGGATTAAACCGATAACTGCGATCAGTGACCTATGTCCTAATGGATATAAATTTTTTACATTCTCGAACCCTAAAATGACTCAGACAAATTTTTAAAATACTCCACATTAATCCTAGTTAAGTTAAGGGTATTTTATGTAAGGTTATAATAAAGGTTTTAGGATCGAGGTATTCATCACGTACTGATACTGTGGTGTGGGTCACTTATATCTATATAAGTAGTATATAACTGTGGTCAGGCATAGAATGTATTTTAGCAGATCAATAAGGAAAGAACGTAAAACGAATGCAATCGGTATGAAAATGCATCAACAATGACATCTGAGATAATGGACTGATATTTGTAAAGGAACAGTCAAATTTGAGACAATGGATTGATATTTTGCAATTTAACTACTTACTATATGGTCCTCAGATTTTATTGAGATGCTCTGTAATTTTGTGTCGAATACATTCGATTGTCCTCACTCATGTTCTTGTTCACTATAATACCAGATATGGTGTGCAAATACCCTACAATCATGTGAGTGAATGAATGGCACTCAAAATTTTAAGGAGTGTAATTTGATTATTTCATTCATCAAATATAATGTCACCAAGTTAAATTTCATTTCAGGATTCAGCGTTTAGAGTTAAGATTTATGAATAGTATCAATTGGAAAATTATATACAATCTGAAGTGACAGAAGTGTCATTCTCAATTCTGATTATCTCATCCCCAAAAGTATATTTTTACCTTTAATTTAGTATATATATAAACATTTTATTGCGGAGATCCAGAAAATTCCCCGAAAAAAGCCATGAAAGGCTCTGATGAAAACGCTGAGAAGCATCTTATCCAACCAGCGTTGACTAGAAGTTTTGCCAGAAACATCAAGAAAGTGGAAAGTCTTATGTTGAGTTTCTGATTGGAAGATTACTATACTGCTACTATGTTTTGTAGCATTCCAGAATTTTCAGGAAACCCAAGAACATCTAAAATACCAGAAAAACCCTAGATTTTCTGTACATGAACGGACTTTCGGAGTAAAGTGTTTCTTACATACTTTGCGCCTTTTCTCTCGTGTTTAAATCGCTGCGTAAATCTAGCCTGGGCGTTACTAAAAAAGCTTAGAAACCAAATCTAGCGTTCAATAAACAAGACTTGTAACATTTCCGAAATCATCTCATACAATTTTCATTTGTGGAATTTCACAACTATTCTTCATATTTCAAACGATCAATCAAATACTTCCCTATTGACATTCATTTTCTTCTGTACTTCTGTGAATAGTTTAAATGACTCCAAATAGGAAAAATAAAACGATAAGAACCATAAATGAAGTTTCTATTTCTTCACTAAAAATAGATAACAGCTGATGACATAATAATAATCAGTAAATTACTTAACAAATAATCAATAAATCAACTTTCTCTCATCTCTTATTGGTCAATCAAATTTATCACTTCGTCAAGGTCACTGGATCATATGGGAATTTCTTTTTTTCACAGTGTACGAAATAAAGAAAGATAAAATATCAGAAGGGTTTATTTGTGGATATTATAGTAATTTCAATGGTTGAGATCAGGAGTCATTTGAAGCTAGACCACTATGGAAAATACAGAAGCACTGGATGGCCGTTTTGTCCTATTATGAGAGAGTAACTCACTGAATATATTGGTGGATGTGTCACTCCATTTCGTGAATTGTTTGAAGTTAGACATTAATACCGTTGGATGTCGGCTTAATGGTCTAGAGGTTAAGCGCTCTCGCGCACTGCTGAGGAGTCTTACAATAGGACGAAACGGCCGTCTAGTGCCTCCAGGTTTTTATGGTGCTCTAGCTTCAATTGACTGATGATCTCAACTATTGAAAAAGATTTTAAAAAAGTCACTAAGAGTACGGAATAGTTGTTTTATCCGTCAGTGGGAATTCTTGTTAGTGTTAAGAAAATGCGCATGGTCCTGTATCGAATTAAACTCAGATTACCTGTGAATCATTTAATTCAATGACTGTGATATTTTTTACATTTTTCTGGTACGTTGATTAGAATAAATATTTTACTAGTAGGTGGTGGCTAAGTGTTCGTATGCGAGACTGAATCTCCTAGGTTTGATCCCTGGTGATGAGGTCGTGTACGAGCGTTGTTGAGGAGCTCCGCACAAGAAAAAAACAGCTGTTCAGTGCCTACTAGTTTTCAATGATTATTAAACAAAAATCAGTCCGAAATGTTAACTATCAAGATTTGATGGGAGCTAGGAGCTTTACGGCTGCGAAACGTGACCATTAAGAGTAGAAAATACTCGTAAGCTATTAGTATTTGACAACAGATGCTTTAGAAATATTGCTCATATCTCCTAGGATCACTGGGTAAGTAATAGTGAGGTTAGACGCAAATTATTAGGGAATGATGGTCAATCAGTTGGTGAGATTGTGAATCTTCATCGACTGAGATGGTTGGGCCACGTGTTGTGTTGCGTATATCTGAACACCGATTAACACGACGTGCAATGTCGACTAGTGTTGAGGATGGTTGAAAGGAAGTTAGAGGTGGCCAAACCAAAAAAACGTGGCATCAGTGCTTGAAGTGACTAAGTTCTAGTTTGAGCCATGTTGTTAGATGCAGACTACTTGGTTGATGTTCGCGCGACTATCATACCCAATAGTTGGAGACTGTGTTTGATATATGGCTGAGAATCGATCACAATGGAGTAGGTGTCTACATCCTTTGTCTTAACTTAAACTGTGAGCTGAAAATTGCTTTATATCTTTCTTTCTGTCAACTAATTCTTCCTTCCTGTACTATATCCTTATACACAATCTTTTATATATTACCACCACTGAATTAACTACTTTTATTAGTTTGGTGTTCATCTTGTGGTGGTAATGAGGTATGGCAACTTGGACCGATGCTTGTATGTGTCTGTTCCTACTTTGCAGCTAACTGACTGACTGTCTGAGTATGACAATCCAAGGTTGAATCACTGTAGTCATTGTTTAACAAAGAATCTTGTTATTACTAATATATAAACCAAATTATTGTTTCAATCTGATTTTCTTTCCGTTTACATTGTAGATCCTCACAAATCAGTGGATACGGAATCGGATACATCAAGTGTGAGTTTGATCATTTAGAAAAAAAATATTGTTATCACCTCCCCTCTTCTTGTATAGACTCCATAACTTTTCTAATAAATTTCTAGAATCTAGATCTTCATCCACTCAAATAAAATGTTGATGGATACTTCAAAAACTCAAGGCTTTTTGAAAACGTTCAAGAGAAATGTAGATAACGTCTGAGTATAATTTAGAATATTAAAGATTCCCATTGTGAAAATTAGAACAACACATATAAGCGAACAATTGTTTTCAATTAGATCGTCATCAGGCTTTACTCTAATATACATGAATATTTATACGAAAATGTTAAACCAATCAAGGCAATATGAGTCAATAATCACAATGAAATAGAATAAGTCACTACACATAAAATAGGTAAAAGTACAAGTTGATAGTACGAAGACAGGTGAACAGATAGTGGTAAGAATAATAAACTATAATAACAAAACTCTTATCAATAGTTAATCGTTGGAAATAGAAGGTCAAATAAACATGGGTAAATAGACTAGGAATAGTAATCACAAAACCTTAAAAATCATTACGTAATAAGATGTGTGTAAATAATTAGATAGTGAAGAATACAAAGAGGCGGATAATGACAAACAAATAATGGATGTGGAAATAAGGTTAACAATAACACAAATAGAATAAAATAAATAATGATAATAATAAAATTTAAAATAAAAATAAAAAAAAAAATAAAAAAAATAAAATAAAATAAAAAATTTTAAAAAAAAATGTTAGTTAAGTTATAACTGGCCATGGAAGGGATAGGGGAGTCACGTATTTCTTCTGTACACATAGATTGGGGTTATATGTACGAATTCCAATGGCTTCAGCTATATATAGGAGACGGGAACGGACTCCGTCGGGAAATGATGGAGGTATACGATAGATAACTCGAAATGATTTCGATTTCTCTACTGTATGACCGCTATCAATAAGATGTGCTAGTATAGAACTCCGAATAGTTTTTCTCTGACCCTTTATGTACGAAGTTGGTAAATGTTCACTCATTCGTTGGTTAAGTTGCCTGGTAGTACGCCCTATATAGCTATCTCCACAGGAGCAGCTGAATTTGTAAATGCACATGGAAGAGGCCAACTCAGGTAACTTATCCTTCGTTTGAGTAGACATCGCTGGTTGACAAGAGAAGGTCAACGCAAGATTGGCTACGTAGAATGTCCTGGTGATTACTTTGGTTAACCTATATTTCAGAGTGTCACTAGCCACATCCCCGTTGAATTGCACTTTCATGTATAAAGGTTTCTTACGAACAGTCGAAATCTCCGACTTCTTTATTATATCCTGCATGTATTTCTTGATGAACGCGCTGGGGTACAAGAGAAATTTGGTCAGATGTCTCACGAGCAGAGCAAAAAAGATCTGTACAGTAGACACTTTAAGTCAGGAGCTTGAATTTCTCAACAACTCACTGACCGAGATCGGCTACCCCAGCGCTTTCATTAAGAAGTACATGTATGATGTAATAAAGAAGTCGGAGATTTCGACTGTTCGTAAGAAACCAATTCAACGGGGATGTGGCTAGTGACACTCTGAAATATAGGTTAACCAAAGTAATCACCAAGACATTCTACGCAGCCAATCTTGCGTTGACCTTCTCTTGTCAACCAGCGATGTCTACTCAAACGAAGGATAAGTTACCTGAGTTGGCCTCTTCCATGTGCATTTACAAATTCAGCTGCTCCTGTGGAGATAGCTATATAGGGCGTACTACCAGGCAACTTAACCAACGAATGAGTGAACATTTACCAACTTCGTACATAAAGGGTCAGAGAAAAACTATTCGGAGTTCTATACTAGCACATCTTATTGATAGCGGTCATACAGTAGAGAAATCGAAATCATTTCGAGTTATCTATCGTATACCTCCATCATTTCCCGACGGAGTCCGTTCCCGTCTCCTATATATAGCTGAAGCCATTGGAATTCGTACATATAACCCCAATCTATGTGTACAGAAGAAATACGTGACTCCCCTATCCCTTCCATGGCCAGTTATAACTTAACTAACATTTTTTTTTAAAATTTTTTATTTTATTTTATTTTTTTTATTTTTTTTTTTATTTTTATTTTAAATTTTATTATTATCATTATTTATTTTATTCTATTTGTGTTATTGTTAACCTTATTTCCACATCCATTATTTGTTTGTCATTATCCGCCTCTTTGTATTCTTCACTATCTAATTATTTACACACATCTTATTACGTAATGATTTTTAAGGTTTTGTGATTACTATTCCTAGTCTATTTACCCATGTTTATTTGACCTTCTATTTCCAACGATTAACTATTGATAAGAGTTTTGTTATTATAGTTTATTATTCTTACCACTATCTGTTCACCTGTCTTCGTACTATCAACTTGTACTTTTACCTATTTTATGTGTAGTGACTTATTCTATTTCATTGTGATTATTGACTCATATTGCCTTGATTGGTTTAACATTTTCGTATAAATATTCATGTATATTAGAGTAAAGCCTGATGACGATCTAATTGAAAACAATTGTTCGCTTATATGTGTTGTTCTGAGTATAATTTCCTTATCTGGACTCAAGAATTATTGATTAATAGGCACTTTAAGTGTCTTCTTCACAATTTTCTGGACTATTAAAGTCGTTCATAGTTCTACAAATGTCTTCCGTTTTCATACTCAACCTAACCTCTAAAATTGACATTGTTTAGTATAATTCTCGCCTTTCGTACACTGTTCAAGTTTCAAGAGTTGGGTAATATCAATTGTCTAATCTATTTTATGCTACCTATTTATGTTGTCTGACTTGTTACTAGTTTGTAGAATATTCAAATTTTTGCTGACTGGTAATTTTCTTTTCTGTTTTATTCATATAAGAAATACACAAATAGTTTAGTATTACTAATACTATCATTTCATTCGGTACTGGATATTTTGCCGTCATAAATGAGTGCTCAATTTTAGTTGGTATCAGTGAAGATTTATTACTTACTTGCTTACTTACGCCTATTACTCCTCGTGGCGAAGCATGGGTCATCTACAAGGATTCTCCATCCAACCCTCCCCTGGCAAACCTTTCCAGTTCTTTTCAGTTGTTATTCATCCTTTTGATGTTTGCTTCCAATTCCCGACGCAATGTGATCTTTGATCTTCCACTTTAAGATTCCAGGTTAGCACTTGCCTCATGATGCAGTTTCGTGATCCTATCTACCTCCAGCGTCCTAATTTCCTCTTCAACTGGAAGCTGCTTTGTTCTCTCCTACAATAGGCTTTTTTTGATGGGTTCTGGCCAACGGACATTGAGTATATTGTGTAAACAATTGTTTATAAGTACTTGTACATTTCTGATGATGGTTGTGGTAGTTTTCCACGTTTCGGCTCCGTACAATAGAACTAACTATCTTAACATTCGTATTAAAGATTGTGACTTTGATATTGGTTAACAGTTGTTTTGAGTTCCAAATGTTGTTTAACTGTAGGAATGTTGTTCTTGCTTCGTCAATCTTTGCCTTTAGTTCTGCATCAGATCCTTCTTGTTCATCGATGATTCTGCCCACGTAAGTGAAATATGCCAAATCTTCCAGTTTCTCTATCAGATGTGACTGGATTGACGTTCTCTGTGTTTTATTCCACGTTCTTGGTTTTCGCATGTGTGTGTTTAAGCCTACTGATGCAGAGACTGCTACTAAAATTGTTGTTTCGACCTGGATTTTTTCGTGTGCAAGGGGTCGAAAGGCCATGTGATCTGCAAAATCAAAATCTTCTAGTTGCATACAAGCTGTCCATTGTATTCCGTGCTTCCTCTCAGATGTGGAGACCTTCATAATCAAGCCAACCACCAGAAGAAAGAAGAAGAGGGAGAGTAAGCAGTCTTGTCCGACTCCGGCCCTAACTTGGAATGCTTCTGTGAACTGTCCTCCATACACGACTTTGCAGTGTAGTCCGTCGTATGAATTCCGGATGGTGTTGATCTCAGGAACTCCATACTGTTGAAGATGGTTCCATTATGAATTCTTATCCACACTGTCAACTGCTCCCTCATAGTCAAGGAAGTTGAATTATGGCGACGAGTTGCATCCAGTTGATTGGTCAACAATGATTCTTAGTGTCGCGATTTGATATGTGCATGACCGGAATCCGGTTTGTTGATCTCGAAGTTGGATGTCTACTGAATCTTTCATCCGGTTGAGCAATACTTTGTTGAAATTTTTCCTAGTACTGATAGAAGTGTGGTGCTCGTATCTCCTTTCTGAAACATCCAGGCTGTCAGAACTTGTTTCCCCCTCCCAAATCTTCCTGAATAGAGTGTGAAGCATGTCTGCAGTTGCTTCGGTGTCTGACTTCAGTACTTCGGCTGATATACTGTCAGATCCTGCTGATTTCTCACTCTTGATTTGTCTGATAGCCATGCTGATTTCTTCGATCTTTGGCGAAGTGACATCTATAGGAAGGTCCGTGTGTGCTGCCTCGATCTCCGGTGGGTTCACTGGAGTTGGTCTTTTCAGCAGTTCCCCGAAGTATTCTACCCATCTGTTCCTCTGTCCCAGAATCTCAGTAATTGTCTTGCCTTCTTTGTCCTTGACTGGTCTCTCTGATTTACTATATTTCCCTGCTAGTTTCTTCATTGTGTCATATAGTTGTTTGATATTTTCTTCTCTTACAGCTTCTTCCGCTATCGTTGCTAGGTCTTCGTCGTATTTCTGATTGTCGGCTCTGATGCTCTTCTTCACTTGCTTGTTTGCTTCAGTGTATTTGGTATGTGCCTTGACTTCCTCTGTTGTTGTTCGGCTGTCTGTTGCTAATTCCTGTCTTCTTGTTCTTCCATTCTTGAATCTTGGATCCGGGGTTTCGACAGAGATTCATTTTTTATGATGATGCCTGTTGTGGCCCAGCATCTCCTGTTACGTTGAAAATAGTGCTTCATTGATCTCTTTACGGTTGTCCTCCAAAGTGGTTTATCCTTTTTTCAGTAGATCATGTAAGGCTTGAAAACTGTTGTTGAAAGTTATCTTGAGTTTGTTGAGTTTGTTAGTATCTCGAAGGAAGGCTGTATTGAACCTTTGTAATGCTGTTTCCCGAGTTGTCCAGTGATTCTTCAGATCCATCTATGTCAGCTCCTCTTCTGCTTCTCACATCTTTCATTGTCCTGAAATTTTTAGTGACGCAAATATGATTGATCTTGTTCTATGCTGTGTGATTCAGTTTGTCAATAAGATATAATTGGTTTTCTGATCATCGTCGCCATCAGTATCTTAAAAAGATTGTTAAGTTAATTTAATCATGATGCTTGTTTTTGGTCGTACTGAACTCATTAACTGATTGTTTAGTCTGGGTGTTAAATCAGTTTTTGAGAAATGTAGCCGAATTAAGGTTCATGAACTCCATTGTTTGTATGTGAACTAGTGTCACTCGCCGGATCACATAACTGACGATTGGGTTCGAACGCATGTCCTATTGTTTGAAATAAAATATCACTTTCTAAAATAATGAAATATTGAAGAAAGTTGTTTTGATAAAATGTAACGAAGCCTAGTTTATTCATTTAAATGATCAACTTCTGATGTCCATTTCTTCGAGTATTTATGATGCAATGTAAAATATTGATTGCCAACTGAAGATAAAATAGTAAGTCGGGTATAATCTGTATAGGACCTTATAGAAATTTATAATAAAATCAACTTACCCAGTTCTCAGAGGTGTATACAAACTGTCGAAGGATCATCATCATTCTATTGTAAGGATTTCGCCCGAAAGATATTTTCATATTGGTTGAACCAGGGTTGGAATGTCACATCTACTTGAAGATCAAGATGGAATTCTTTCATTCATTGAGTTAGATAACAACTCGATTATTGATTTCATCAAATCAATTGAATAACGATGTAAGATTGATTTGAATCGTAAGTTTCTTCGTCATCTAATTTCAATGGATTTCAACTATGTTGTTTAAATTTTCATTTGCTACCGCATAGAGACCGACTGATGAATTGTCACCATTTAATGTTAAATTTTTAGGTTGCCCGATGAGTTGCAGATACACGAGTTTCCTATACTTCATCTACTCAGTGAGACGACTAAAATGATTAGAAAGATGCACTTGGCAACTAAATATTATTGTACACAAATCATTGATATATATGTTCATTGAGCTTATTAGCCAAAACTTAAATAAAGTACATAACGAGTCTCATCCAATAGCATGCGTCATTTGTCATCTTTCACTCAGTGCTTAGCCTTGAGGGGCACCATGTGAGAGTAAATTCACGTGTTATTTCTGATTAGCTCAGCCTATCACAACAGAAAACTAACTTGGTATTATAGAATTATAAGATAATGATTTTTTTTTAAAGGTTTGATGAATATAAAGTATGAATAAATTAATGTCATTTTAATGAATTTCAAACTTTATCGTCCGGTATCTATCACTAAAGTTATCTCTATGTGTTCTATTTTCTTACTTGGTTATTTTCTAACATACTTGTGGATACGCAATGTATTCCGATCACTGAATAAATACTTATCACCTCGGTGAAATGTGTCAAATCATGTCCGTATTGCTTTAAACGGTATAAGTTTTGGTATATCATGATATAAATTCTTTTGGAAGGTATTTAGCACGAAGTCATACTTCATGCCTAATGCCCATTTTTGATATAGTTTTGTTCTTTATACTCCTCCAAAGTCATCTATCTAATCTACAAATCTTCTCTACCATCACTAAGTTCCCTGTAGTTGACAGTTGTCAAGGAAGTGATGCTCGACTTCAGGATTGGATCTTGTATCACTTATCGTCAAGTGTTAAAAATGCTTGCTCTGAGATATTCAGACTATGACTGACGTTTTATAGAATTAAGATATTCGTACATATTGTCCAACCAAATCATCTAACAATTAACAACATAACATATCATATTATTGACTATGTTAGATACAATTTTGTATCGTGTTACTATTCAATGGAACTGGATATTCAAGTTTATTCCAAACCTTTAATGCATATTTGATGTTATTATCATTATTGTCTTTTCAATGTTCATGATATTCACAAATTATTGCATAATTTTAGCAATCATTTTGTTTTGGTTTTCAGGTATTCTCTAGCAGTGGTAAGTTAATTATTTCATATAAATATATGTTTACTATAAACAATATTAACTATTGAATAACTACTGAATATTACTGAGATAGTGGAGAAGATTTGTAGGTCAGGTGGATGATTTTGATGGAATTTTGTTCTCTGAGCTGGATGGTTTGGTCATGTAGCTTTCATCGTTCTTCTGAACGACATCATCAGCACAAACTTCAGATAGAAGTAAAGTGTTCGGATTTCTCCATATGCGTTTCACAGCTTGTTCTGTGCTCCACGACCAAACCATCCAGCTCAGAGAACAAAAATCCATCAAAACTGAATATACTTAACAGTGAGATCGAGGTATACCTCCTGATAGTCATATACCAGGTATATATTAGGACCGATTTTTGTTTGTTCATGTTTAGCTCTTCAGTTCAATAGTCTTCTTCTAGATCTAAAACGTTACTTATATTATTGTTATTCTTATTATAAGTAGTATAAGTGATCAACAAAAGGGTGAACTTGTAGTCTTGGAAATGGCCCACAATTCCAGGTCTAACAGAGCGAGTTTAAAATCATTCGATCACTATTACCAGTCATTCAAGATATTATAGTGTAACGTAGACCAAAATGAGTTACAATGGCATAAATGTATTCACACTTTGTCTTCCTCTAAATCTTAAGCTTTAATATTATTTCATATGTTTTATTGTTCTAAGTCATCCCTTCTTTTCAAAACCTATTCATCAATGTTAAGTCTTTCACAATCATTAATACTACTACCGTTATCCCTACTCTCTCATTATTGATTTTATTAATTTTCTATCTTGTTTTGCCTAAGTGGTTTGGAAACTTGAGCTATCACCCTTTCATTTTACCACTATATGTGATTCTTGGTATATATTAACATTTGAGAGCTGTTTTACTCCATGGATCACAGCTTCTTGTTTGGACTTTTGAAGATGCATCTAGATGTTCTGTCAACTTCGCGAAATACTGAAATATATCGATTGGTCAGGTTAATGATTAATTTTACGAGTACTACCATCAACTTCTATTTGAATTGATTTCAAAACGCAGAATCGTAGACCGATGAACGTCAGGTTGACTCATTCAATCACTATTAAGCATATGGCTATTAGTACGTTTGTAGCTTTAATTTAGTCAAGAACAAAGCAGCTACCTATATACTTCAGGAACTGAATACTATCATGGTTTTCTTAACAAATTCAAGTAAATATGAACTGATCCCCTTGCAGAACCAGATTACAAATGCATACTACTACAATATTGACTGTTGTTAAATGAGATAAAAATTATCTTCCTAATAACATTAACATTGAAGCATTTGTGTTCAACCTGTCATATTCATATATCTTGAAAGTTTCATCATCCATAGTAGGTTGGTATTTGATGCAACTTCAAAACATTCCGACTTGCTTGATTTTTGCCAAATAGCATCAATTGTAGTGTAGGCGATGTATCATCCGTCTGACAATCAAAAGAAGAGTGTTACTACACAGCTGATCATTTCCTTCTCATTAATCAGTGTGAAACGTAACCATTAAAAATAAATAATGTTCCTAGCATTATAGTATATGATTATAAATGCCTAAGTAGCATTGTATACTAAATTGACCAAGGCAGAAGCAGCGTACTAGGTAAAACAAAAGTAGCCAATCGACTGATGAGATAGTGAATTCTAATCGATTGAAGTGGTTGGAACATGTATTAGGCTGGTAGATGCTTGTTATCTAATTAGTCTGTCTTAACCAAATGACTCAAGACGTTGGATGAAATGACTCTGAATCAAAATTCTGTTCACTCTTTGACCGAGAGTTGATATTTGATACACACTCATTCTGTACATGAACTCCGTTACTCATGAAAATAGACAGAGAGTGAGAAAAGAAGTTTATTTGTCTAAATGGAATCACAGACATCTCGGTAAGACTATAGTTAATGAACAACCTTTGAGCGACGCTAAACTGACCTTGAGAGTGTCCACTTAACAACCAGGACCAAATGAGAGTAATAAAGCAGTGTGAGGAATTAGAATTATGATTTACAGTTGATGTTTAAGGTTAGAAATCAGGTTGAGGTTTTTCATCACGAACTGACATCAGCTATAATGCCAAAACTCTATTTACCCAAATAGATGAGTGAATTTCGCGCCAAAATCCGAGATCTATTATCTTATACCTGATTGTTTGTTCATAAATTACAGTCTCGCTGACATCTCTAATCATCTACATATTAGTATGCCTTTCCTTTAAAAAATTGAGTTTATCATTGGTTTGTATCGTTCCATGAAAATGAAAATCATTTCTTGCCCAGTCACTTACACCTATCGTTTAAATATGTTTGATTGGTGCACTGTATTCGTTTATCTCTCAGATTTTGAGTTTCAAAATTATTTCATTCTTTAATTCTTACATCTGGAACTACATTTTTCATGCCTAATAGTTTCCAACATGAATGATAATGTAGTAATCACTACTGTGTAAGATTTGTTTTGATAATTTCACTTTACTACTCTAAAGTGGTGTGCCAGATTCTTAAGTTCCTTATGACTAACTGACATTATATTTGATTATATTGACCCACAGGTTGTTGTGCGGTGTAGGCCCACGGTATAATATTGATGTTAATGAAATATAAATATATTACCTACCTCGACTAATCTCATTAATAACGACGTAGATTTCAGACGTTCGATAGTATGGACGAACGACAAAAGATGAAGAAAAAATGCGTATGAATCACTGAAGCGTCAAAAATTACCAGCTCAGTGAGTTATAAGTAACTCAGTATCTATAACCATGAAATAGATACAAGTGAGTATACACACTCATAGGCACTAACATACACAAATGTATAAACTATGATCAGGGTTACACATGAGTAATTGGTATGATCAAACTTATAGGTGATAGGACCAAAAAAGATAATTAGGATAACGTATCTAACTAGAGGTTAGGACAGATTAAGTAAGCGGGTAATAGCAGAAAATCACTACAACAGCACTGTTCATCAATCTTTTATTTTCTCTGTTGATTTTTAGGCCCACCAAGACCAATCTCTTCGAAAATTGGGTCGTTTCAAAATGCAAAACATAAACCAGGAGGTGGAAATGTAAGTTTATTGACTTCAATTTTTTTACCTATTCGCCTATTTCTACTTATTTTTACAAACATAATAACAGTCAATAGCCCTGATCTCAAATTTTTAAAGACAGTTTTCATCTAAAATTCACTATTTTTACCCGCTTGTCCATCATCGATTAGCATATCTCACCTATGACCCCACCACAGATTGAAATCCAAACATTTAGACCTCACGCCAACCGCTTGACTTTTAGACCAGTGAGTTAACATCCAGTGATTTACGTTCCTAATTTCAATCGATTAATAACATTGTGCAACTATCATCTAATGCGATTGATGGGGTGACTGTTCCACTGACGATATGACTGAATGCAGCTGGTCAAAACTTCTTATTGGAACTGCGAGAACTACCTCTTAAAATTAATCACTAATGAGCAATTAATAATCATTTGTGGAGATTGTTGTATTTCATAGTTTATCTCTTTGAAGCCATCAACAATCGAATTCAAAAAATAATTAATATCCCCTCTATATTTATCAAATGGTAATTGACCTTTTCATAATGTTTCCTACCTTTCCAACGTCTTCAGAGAATAGCTTAGTACGACACTAAATTAAAAGTATTGATTTCGTTACTTGAGTTCCTTTCTCTCACACATCCACACACACGCACACTTTCTGTTCACAGTGATATACGTTATATGTGATATGCTAGATACAATAACAATTAATTCTATTTACAATTGATTGATAACTAAGTAATGACTAATGCCACATATATCAATTCCTTCTTAGTGCTGACTGAATTGCAACTTGGTCGACAGAATCCGATCAGAACTAAAGAAGGAATTGATATACATGATATTGGTCACTACTACTTAATGATCACTAAACTGAAAATACATCTCAGTCGTACAGGAGTTCAGTTTCTGTTCGAATAACTCGTTAATAAAGTCTATCACAGTGAAGCTAAGTCACGCGGGATCAAATCCAACAGGGAGAATTGGTTTCCTTAATATGACAGTGTTAACTAGTACAAAATCTAGGTTAACTATGGTATTCTGTCAACTATTTTCATCCAACACCTTACAATTAACACTATGAATAATAAAAATAACCATACTGGATAAGAGGTGACAATGTATATATCCATGCTTGTTTGTTACAATGTTGTAAAACACATTAAATTACATTTTCATCCCGATGAAACAAATAAATATTTAAAAAATAGAAATTAACCTTAAATCACCAAGGTAATACAGTTAAAGTTTATGGATTAATAAAAAAATAAGGTGTGTGTGTGTGTGTGTAAACAATTTTAATGCATGAGCAAATTTAATGGTAGAAAGCAGGTCGATAAAAGGAGGATCATTTTAAAACAATCAGTCCATAAAATCATTGATTATGTTTTGTATTGTTTACTGGAGTGTGGATAGAGATGATGATGATAATGTGTAACTTTTGTGGCGAGACTATAATTATGAACAAACAATCAGGTATTAGATAACAGATCTCGAATTTTGGCACGAAGTTCACACATCCATTTGGCTAAATAGACTTTTGGCATTATAGCTGATGTCGGTTCATGATGAAAACCCTCAGTCTAATTCCTAACTTTAACTATCAGTCAGTCAGTTAACAACAACGTAGAACATTGTACACACGTACATCAGTTCGACTTGCCATACCACATTATCACAAAGATACAATTGTTCATTCAAATCCCATAGTGGTAGAAGTAATGAAAGTATAAGCAGTAATCGGAAACATTAGGGTTTGAAGATGTTATTCAAGGAGTATAATCGAGTGAAATAAATTTGGAAAGAGAGAAAAGAAATGGACATGAAGAATTCAGAAAATAATAATTTGGGAGAACACAAAGAGTGAATGCACCTGCACACGATTTTGAGCCATGTCATTCAAGGTCTCTAACCATCGATTGCTATCGTCTTGTGGATCTATTATAACGGTTTGTTTTCCAACGTTTACACGTATGGGACGTTAATTTACCTTCAACGATTATCTACATTAGATTCCCTCCCAGTGTCTATTCTGCAGGACGTCAGCACAACTCAGATCAAGAACGTGTGATTAGCCTGACTAGAACGTAAATATATTTCCACACCAAAATCCAACAGCAATGAACAATCAGTAATAAGTAATAATAAGGATAGAGGAATATATAACTCATCTGATACCTGTCAGACTATCTACATGTCTGACTAAGCAGACAACCAGTCATTTTCATTTTCGCCCACACATCAGGATCCCAACCAGGTAGTAGATGTAGACCTACCAACATGGCTCAGTCCACTTGTCAGTGACTTCATGGAATTATGCCATGTTTTTTTCTGGTCGCTCCTAGCTTTCTTCCAACCTACAACCTTAATCATTAATTCTAAATCATAATTCTAATTCCTCAGACTGCTTTATAACCTTCATTTGGTCCTAGTTATAAGGTGGACACTCTCAAGGTCAATGTAGCGTCACTCAAAAGTCATTCATAAATTATAGTCCCATCGCTTTTATAATTCCTTATAGTCTAAGTCTTAGAAATAAATTATTTTGACTTGATAAACCTTCTGTCTCAACGGTTGAATCGGTTTCTTTAGCTCTTCTAATAACCCAGGCTAAATTGAAACGAAAACTTCAACACGAATAATAGGATGCGAAATATGGAAACGATGTTTTACTTCAAGGTTAGTTTATGTACAGAAAATTGAGGGTATTCATAGCATTCCAGGTGGCTTTGGGCTTCTGGAAAATTCTGGGACCCTACTAAACATAGCAGCAGGATCGATAATCACCCAATCAGAAATGTGGCACGTGACTCTATACTTTCTAGATGTTTCTGAGTGACTTATATTCAATACTGATTGGATAAAATGTTTCCCAGTGTTTTCAGGGCCTCTTTAGGCTTTTTTTGAGGAATATTCTAGGTCACTCTAACACGATTCATATCTGATAAATTGATAATTTACTCATCAATTTAAAAAATCTCTGTATCGATATAAAATAGCTTGTTTAGAATTATTCCTTTATCACCGTCATTTTTAATGTTGGTAAACGCAGTTCTATCACTCAGGCATACGGAACGTTGAACCTGGCACATATATGCGTTGATTCGATTTGCTGCATTATGTTGGGACAGTGTAATTAAATTATTAATCGGGTAAGCGTCGGTGTATTAAGTGGTAGTGTAAAATACGAAAATAGGCAGGAGAAATGTTCTAGTAGTGCGAAAAGTTACAAATTAATTCCATAACCTTCAATCGTCCATTTGCATCTCTTCACCGTGTTCTGTCACCTGAACTGTCTTCTCGTCTGATCTCCAAGTGTTCTCCCAGTGCCATGCTTTTGATCCGCTGAAACTTTTAACTCCGTCTGACAATTGTAGTAACTTCGACACTGTGTTCCGCTACACAGTCTTGTGAGTAGCGTCCATTACAACAGTATCATTAGTGGTAGAAAACTTAAAACATAGACAATATGATTTAAGAAGAATGTATTCGCGGTGTTATGACGTTCGCTACCTCTCACTTCACGAATCAAAAACTCGGAGAAAAATTCAATAATTGAAATCCTGACTTGATCTCCTCGAGTTCCAGTATTTTGGTCGCTCCATCGACAGACTGCTCAACCTGACCAATCAAATACCTAGGGTAGTACGGGTAACCTTGAGCGTTAACGAGATAATTTTGACTCTTATTGGTCCATTGATATATACTTCTTTTTCTATTCCCACCATCTTCAGTCCGGACAAAAGAGCACTTCAGGCCAACTTCTATTATCTACATTACAATCATCTAGTATGTTTTTCATATCAGACACTCAGTTTATATCCATTTATTGCCAGATCGCAACTCATCGTAAATAAGAAATTATTCTGTACAGAAAATTATGTCATAAGTGACAGAGAACGGAATAAACAGTACACAATTAGTGAATAATAATAAAACAATAACCGATAGATCTAACGAAAACTCGAAATACCAGGATTGTATAAACACTATCACCCAATGATTCATCTGATTTTTTCTGGTTAGAATTTTTCTACCAATATTCTTTTCTATGGGATTGTATTGCTAACTTCATGCCTAACCCTCCTCCTTTATTCGGGGTTTATGACCGGCAGTAACCGTGAATGGGCTTCAGGCAGAGTAAAGTATCTCTATTAGCTATATGATAAAAATATAAACAAAATTAATTTGTGAATTAATCCCAAAAGTTCCAGTATCTTCAACCCCCGTCACATTATAACACACGGAATAAAAAGTTTAGTATGATTTTGAAACTCAACATCTATGAGAAGATGATTTTAAGTGCTGTTAGTGGTGTATGAGTGGTAGTTACTCTCCACTTGTTCACACAATGAGAGGATACTTCTTGGGGAGATGAACAGGAAATCGGGTTAATTATCATCTTGACCTGTTGTGAGTGTGCTGGCAGAAACCAATGGATTACTACTTGAGACTGGCTATTCACAACTCTCTGATAAATAATTTTGAAAGGTATTACCACTGGGAATGTAAACTAATGGATCAAGGCGAAGTGTTATATTTTTATGACCAACTACATTTAACTCCTTTCCGCTGTGGGAATGTAGCATCAATAGAGGTACTGACTTCTCAAGGAAAACCCCGTACGTCTGAGAATATGACTTCGCCCTCAAACCCTGATTTTGGTACTTTTTATCCTAGTATCTCCGAACCGAGTCGCCCGGTATAGTGTGACCCTCAAGATTCCCGACAAAGCGAAAGTCAAACGTATAACAGTTAATTGTGTTGTATTTTATGGCTACGAAATATGGTCATTATGAATATAAAGAACATGCATAGATTATTAGTACTTGAGAACGTTGCTGTTTACAGTGGAACAAACAAATGAGTAATTGCAAGTTGTGTGTGGTTTTAGTGGAATGAGCAATTTGATGAATAAGAACGTTAAGCATTTATTGATTATACTGATTACGAAATGGGTTGTATATGCTTAAACCACACCACCTATATATAGCGTTAACTCTTTCTGGGACAGAATTGACTTGAAAATAAAAATCTAAAGTGAATAAGATTAAAACGTAGTATCAGTTTACATTAAGTCACTGACTGTTCAACTGAGCTGTGTAAGGAAATGAATATTTACTAGCTTGACAGAGTACTTGATAGTTGTGATCAACTATCGACAACGTTATACAATCACATGGCTTCAAATTGATAGTCCAAGACATTGATTTTTAATATTATTCCTCATTTTTTAGTTTCACAGATCCATTTATTTCTTCATTTTGAACTAGATTGTTTTTATAACTGTCTATTATTGATTGCAACAGCTGAATTCGTGAGTCAATCTAAGCTAGATGACTATTAAAAACTTGAAACCACTGAACGACCGTTTCATCCAAGTATGGGTTCTAGTCCCGCTTGCTAGATCGTTTATACTCGCTGCTGAAGAGTCCTATACTAGGATGGAACAGATTTTCAGTACTTCCAAGTTTCTAACAGTAGTGTCTCGCTTAGATCGACTGATGAACTTAACTGTTCAAAATACTACAATCGCCACAAATCCCCATATTAATATTATGGCGAGGCTCTAATTTATGGACGACCTTTGAACGAATCTTAGGTGACCTTCAGAAATATTAGTCAATCAGCAAACAGTCAGTATAGAGTAAAAATATGTTATACAAAACCAAGGAAATAAAGTGGATACACTTCTTATACGTGGTTTAAAAACTTGTCAAGGTTAGAAAGAGGTTCCGAGGTTCTAAAATCGTAATGAATGCAGTAGAGGAAATCATCCATACGGCTACAGAATAGTTGGCTTGTGGAGCCATGATGAAGTCTCGAAAACTCTTTCAGCCTCGATCACATAGCTTCAATATTGTTTATATGCACTCCGGTTGTTGAGTGCACTATATGCTACTTGTGGATAACGACACGATGCACATAACCAAGCCTATGTAGGAGTCTGTACGCTCTCTAAACTTTCGTATATATTGTAGTACCTGGCTGCAGCCAGTGTTACTGGTTATTTTATTATTCAATTCGCGATAATTATCATAATTTGCCTTAGTAAGGAATTATATATAGGGTTTTCATCACAAACTGACATCAGTTATAATGCCAGAAATCTATTCAGCCAAATGGATGAAAGGCTTTCGCGTTAAAATCTGAGATCTATTATCTTATCGTCCACAAATCATAGTCTCGCCGTTTTATTTGCTATAGCCACTCAATTATCACGTTTTGTACAAAATTCCCTGTGAACCGAACGTACGTTAGCATGAAGCACTGAAGTTGGCGCCGTAACCTTGAAATCTGTAAAACGCCTCTGACCGACTCGTCCATAAATTAGAGTCTCACCGATATTATTGATTGTATTACAATTTCAACTCTCCATTTAATCATCATATATATAAGATGAAAACGACAGGAATTTAGTTCTGTTATATTGAAAATAGACATGTTCCTATTATCGATCTTCTTCAACATTGAATAGATTCAATTTAATCAAAGATTATACTGTTTACTTTTACTTCATCCAACTCTTATCTATGTTCTATCTTTGTTTATATTTCAACTTTATATATGTATACATATGCACACACACACACATAGGTACTTCATCCAGAAGTCGAACAAATTTATTTCGTTTAATGTTGTAGTTTTTTTCTTCTTATTTTAATCAAAAATTTGTTTGATAATGGTGTAAACAATAAAAGATCATTTACAACTTCTTTTCTCTTTTTTCTTAGATCGTATTATTACTGTTGTTGTTGTTGTTGTTTTTCCAGGTACAAATTTTCAATGAAAAAGTAATTGTGAATACAGTTGCTGGAAAATGTAATTCATTAGCTAATGTCAAGCATAAACCAGGTACCATAATGTGAATGTTTATATAAGTGTGTGTGTGTGTATGTGTGTGTATGTATGTGTTCAAGTACTCCTTTTTTTCTTCTTTGTATACATTTGTCTTGTAAACTGAATCAAGATTAATTGAAATGATCGGAAAACTTTCTAGTTACAATTTATTTGATGAAGTAAACAATTTATTTAGTTTATAATAAGGAAATGTTTGTTATTGTTGTTGATATTACACAGTTTCAATTTTAACTAGTCTTTGTTAGTATATCTATGCATCTTATATGAATTGTCTTATGTTATAAGTTTACATAGAATAAATGAAATGTGGTTAAAACAGTGGGATTCAGAATAGACGTTTTGTTCTATTTTGAATTGATCCGTATGTATTAGAATTTAGGAACTATCTGAGAGTGAACATCAACTCTCTGGGATGCAGGTACATCCATCTGACGAGTCCCAAATAGGACGAAACGCGTGTCAAACTGGATTCCACTGCTATCCACTATTCATCTTTGCTTACAAATAGAGCTTGTGAATTATGGTAATATCTAGGCATACGCACAGTATGCACATATGCCAATAACAGACTGATCAATTGCAGTCTTAAATTTCAATGGGAAGATACAAGCCAAACAATACCAAGTGAATCAACTTTTTATATACTGAGCTAGACAATCTTCCTTTTATATATTACCACCACTGAATTACCTATGAAACATTCGGTGTTCATCATGTTGTGGTAATGAGGTATGACAACTTGTACCGACTCATATGTGTGCCTAGTCCTGCGTTGTAGCTGATTGACTGACTGATAACACTATAACTCCTGACCATTTGGTTCATATGTATCCAGATAGCAAGAAACTCTCATGCTGAATTCCACAGTTATTGACAATTCATCTGTTTTAATTAAATTGTGGACCGACTTATCACTTATAACAATAATAATGATAATGATACATGCTTTACCTAATACCATATATTTGGTTACACTAAGGAATTTCCAGCAGTACAAATTACATAGTATTAGAATAGAATTTAGATAACATAGATACTAAAGATATGAGTAGAGTGACTTAATTACCAAACCAAACAACAGTGTACATAGATCATGAGTATTTATTTATATTATTTAAAGACATATGAACCATGACTAAAGCATAATGTACTTTTTTCAATATTAAACCTCTTACATAATATATCCCTAACCATTTAACCTTTTAGAGAAATGTAACTGTCCACCTTTGTGCTTTAATACACTCAGTCAAATAAATCACTGACATTATCGTTAATAAATCATCATCGAATCCCATGAGCGGGATCGTGGATGCGCACTGCTGAGGAGTCCTACAATAGGACGAAACGGCCGTCCAATGCTTTCAGGCTTTCAATGGTGGCCTGACATCAATCAGTTATTATTATTATTATTATTATTATTATTATTATTATTATTATTATTATTATTATTATTATTATTATTATTATTAGCTTTATTCAATATTATAATTTTGGTACAATATAGAATTCTCAGCGCAAAGTATTTCAACAAGTTTCTGTTTCTTTCTTCTTGGTCGGTCCTGGCGATAAATATTGAGGAATCGCCAGTTAGATGTTAGCACTTCAGTGAATGAACAACTGAATAATGTACATTCTTTTCGTCGTACATTGCCAGCAACCATATTGTCTCTTATTGAGTTTTCTGTAACTTTGACAACGAAAGGTTGTACACTTTTCAGAAACGCAGCAGAATAGGTTATGCGATTAATAAACATAATGATATATTAAAACAAACAACAATAGAAAACTTGTTGAAATATCTAGATGGCAGGAACAGGTAGCCCAGATGCTCAAGCAGGCCGCCTCATCAAGATTCATGATCTGAATCAAAAACCAACAAAAGCACATTTACGGACAAAGATTTAGTAATCGTATATTAAACTAATTTCTAACATCTTGAAAAACGAATCAAGGAAGCGTGCACTTCTTATAAACCATATTAGACTAACACTAAATACTTCGATGTTGAATATCTTTAATAAGTGTATACTTTTCAATTCCATCTGTCATTATTATTTTAAGCATCCAATCAATGTCAGATGACTATTCTATTCTATTCCAATATTGATTTGTACGTCAGCTGATTTTTATCATTGAGTCAACATAGACAAATTCAATAATCAATCAATGTTACAGAAGGTTGTTTACAGTAGAACTAGATCATTAGTGTAATATCTTAGTTTGTGAAATTTAGTAACATAGATTTGAATCCTATCGAGAATATCTATTGCTTCAAAGTTAAAAGTACTACATCTTATCAGTTTAAGGGTTGTGGACATTGTTAAGTTTTTGATTGAGATCATGAACCGATTGATGTTAGACCACCATTGAAAACCTGGAAGCATTGGACATCTTAGTTAATGAGTGCCAACTTTCATGGAACTTAGGTTAAACAGAGTTTATTGTTGATTGACTCTATATAGGTAACATCAAATTATAAAATTTTCATAAAAAATCCATTGATGAATTTTAAAGCTCAGTAATATTTTTGGTTAGTCTCGGGAGGGGGGGAAATCATGGAGATTGTTAAATGTTATCGAGATCACAAATTGACTCAAGCTATACAATTATTTAAAACCAGGAAATCTTAAACATCAGTTTTTTCCCTTAAATGGGCGGCCACCTTGGCAGTATACATCTGCCACCCAATTGGACGTCAAGACCAGAACGTTTAGATCTCTTTGCAAGCGCCTAACCTTCCAACCTGTTAGATGAGATAAATTAGTTCCTATTTTTAAGTTCTGTTAATTCATTCTATTTCACAACCATCATTGATAGGTAATTCTTTAACTTCCAAGACGATTGACCAATGAACATTCTCAATCTGTACAAGGAAAAAGCAAATATTCAATGCTTCCTGATGTTCACTGATTATTTATCCTAAGTTGATTCATCAAATAAAAAAGTATCTGTAAATGTTGTATGCTTTACGTAACTCTTTTGTTCTGATTTTATCTTTCTATTATAAAGGTGGAGGAAATCTACAAATTATTGATCAAAAACTTGATTTTTCATCTAATACACAATCGAAAGTTCGATCATTTCAAAATATTAAACATGTTCCTGGTGGAGGTGACAAAAAGGCAAGTTAATGACTAAATAAATGACTAATTTATGCATGAATTAGCAAAGATCACATAGAATCTGTGGTCAGTGTTGAAATGGAGAAAGTTATTCATGTTCTGGTATTGAATGATGATTGTACTATGATACAAATTAACAGTTTGTCAAAGACGTAGCTTAATTATTGTAGGATTATATTTACTGGTTGTAAAACCTGTAGGTTAAACATTCGACCCTGTCTTTCACATCATTGGTATACTCTGTTGAAGAGTTTCAAGCTTAGAAGAAACTCTTCAGTGTTTCTTGATCCTTAATAGTTCAACCATATCATCAGATGTGAGACAGACATCAATAACAATGATACTCGGACTACAACATAACTAAAGTTAAGAATTCACGATGGTTTGAAAAATTCCATTATTGATGTTATTGGGCGAATATCGAACAGTCATTGTTGATATGTAAAAACCAGTAAATGGATTGTCTTGATATAACCACTTTGTCACATGTTTTTACAAAACAGAAGGATTATGGCTAGTATTGGAATATAAATCCCGTGTGTCGTCCTATCTGTAACTCATAAACTGGGTGCATTTTTATCGTAATGTAAATGTTCACTCTCAAATTCCAAATTATTACCTTTCGCTTTAGACTTCAATTTGTTATTAAAAACGGCATCAATTCTGAATGTACCTATGCCAACAGAGTAGTTGAAAATTTAATCTTAAATATCAACAGCGAAATAAGACGAATTATTAGGAGTTGTTAGTTATCTGGACTCGGTGAATAACGCTCTGGCGTTCAAAGTGATTGGCGATGAGTTCAAGTCTGTGTAAACAATAATACTGGGATACAGATCCATTTAACTGAATATTCTTTGAATTACACCTTTTAACCACAGTTCAGATATACTAAAACTGAAGATTGAAATGTTAACAATGTACATTTTATGAGACTCACTTGTTGACTTAGAATACGCAGATGATATATTTCTTTTTGGTGAAGATGCTGACAAAGTGCAGAGAATTTTCACCACTTTAAGAAACAATAAAACATTTTTGGAATGCGGTTCTTACCCTCCCATTCCAGAATGTTGCTCCAGGACTGGCCTGTGTTGACACCTGAGGTAATGATAAGATGTGAAGTAGTTTAGCGTGTCAACCACTTTACTCATCTCGGAAGTCTCATCAGCCTTATTAGTTTGGTGTCTGACAAGATCTCGAAATGGATTCAGAAAGCTTGATTAGAAGCTGCCAACTTGTTTCATTTGTGACGTAGATGAGATATCCATCTACCAAATAAAGGATGGGTGTACTGCGCAGAAGTTTGCTTTGTTTTACTTTATGGGTGTGAAACATCATGGCCTTTAGAAGTAGGAGATATTTTGTAGGTTACTGGTATTTGATCATAGGTGTCAAATATTAAATAACTGATCTATTTGGAGTTTCATTCTCTGAGCTGAATGGTCTAATCGTGGATCTGTCATAGTTCTTCTGATGAGATATTGTTCCACAACCAAACCATCCAACTCACAGAGCAAAACTTTGCACAAATCATCCATCTGAGCAACAAATTTTTTGTACCATTAAATTACTGACATTTCTTGACTTGGTTATATATGATTTTAATAGTTGAATTCATTAGTCGATGTAAGCTAGACCACCATTGAGAACTTGGAAGCACTGGACTGATAAATTCAACTATTAAAATCACTAAAATCTCCACAAACCTCCATTGTAATAATAATAATCATGGAATCGCTAGTGGATGGCTTTTCTGAAGTTCTACTGAGAAGCCATGACTAGTGGAGTCCAATATGTGTCGAGTAGAGACATGTATCGTTGCACAATATCATGGATCGATTGAACTTAGGCTGCCAGCTCAGTGATCTAGAGTTTAAGCGTTCACACGCGAGACTAAAGATCGTGGGTCCAAATCTGAAATGTGGAATCGTAGATGTGCACTATTGAGGAATCTCATACTAAAACGGAATGGCCGTCAAGTGTTTCCAGATTTTCAATTTTCGTCTAGATTAAAATAATTCATGAATTCAGTTATTAAAATCACTACATTCTGTATAACCACCCACCCACCCCACCAATCTTAGTTATAAGTCACTTCTTAACATCAATTAAATACCATATAATCAATGTATATTGTAGTTGATAAGTAGTAAATTGAAAATGTTAACCATTACTAATATATCATCTTGTCAACTTTTTTTTTAATGATAATGAATCTTTATATTAAATCATCCACTGTTTATAACATGTTTTATTCTTGTGTACATGTATCATATCTAACTTAAATCTACTTGACAACATAATTTTTATTGTTGTTATTTATAAAGATAAACTCCTGTTATCATCTTCTGTTCACAAGCAAGGTATATTACACATTTGTATACACATAAATACACAAATCTAAGTAATAAACATTGCTTTATTGATTCATTTACTCTATCGATCAGTTTATCGATTGATTGATTGATTGATTGATTGGTTAAGTGTGATTGGGATCCATGTTTTTTTTAATATTTTTTTGGTTTATTTTTAGATACCTGTTGAAAAATTAGATTTTAAAGAGAAAGCATCACCAAAAGTTGGATCACTTGCCAATGTGAAACATAATCCAACGGGTGGTGATGTGAAAGTAGGTGAATGTTTCTTTTCTTCACCCATTTTTTTGTTTTGTTTAAATGAATGACTTCAAAGTGAAAAGCTGTGACTTGTGAAGTTCAACTATTATATGTGTTAAATGTGAAAAACGGGATAATGGTAGCGCTATGTTTACGCCACTGTTGGGAAATCTTAAAGTTGTGCATAAAAACAATCTATCTACGTTTGATATTGAAGTTTTCTGACTCTGTTACTATAGTACACAAACTACCGATACACAAGCTCTCAACTGTCGATTACTAAGTGAGAAGACTAAGAGTAAAGAAAGAAATCATTTCCTCGCTAATAACATGCATTTACCAATTAAGAAATTCTTGTTTGACACAACATGACCTTCTTATTTGGTGACTTTTAATTGACTCATTGCATCATTTCCCAACTTTGTTCCCTCTAAGTTTTTTTAGATAAAAAGCTGATCTGTTGAAGTCCCTCAAGCCTAGTACCTATAATCCCTATCGATAAAATCAATGAAATAATCATTTGATTGACTTTGGCTAAAATAAACGGGTTTATTCGTCCAAGAAGCAGTGACAAGACATCAAATATGACCTTAATCTAAGTTCATTCTCTAGTCAATTTGCTGTGTCTTACTTTAATTAAACGAGCAAGCATCAAGGGTTTAATCTTCTTCCTATTCATAAAATATGCTTTCTTGAAAAATTCACCTACTAACTTGGGTAATCGAATTACGCCAAAGTTTCATAAACATACAAACTCTCTTCATGTAGAACTAAACTATACTGACAGTCGTGAAACAAATGAAACTAACTTATCGTAATGAATTTCATGGAAATCACGAACCAATCAAAGTTAAACTACCATTGAAAACATAAAAACAATGAATGGCCGTTTCGTCCCAGTATAGGACTCCTCAGCGGTGTGCAGAGTGACCAGCTGAAGAGAATATTAGTCTGTGAAATGATTAACTATGAATGATTGATACTTAAGAGTATATGTATGATAAGCATTTATAAAGATTAGTAGACAAATGAAATTCTAACCCTGACAGATAACTGTTAACATTGTCAAATCAAATGATGCTTTATCATAAAATATAACTCGACTTAATTCAAATTGAAATGATTTAAACTGAATCTCTTAGCTATTACATAAGTGAATGGCTATCTGGACTTAGTAGCTAATCTGATAACGCATCCAGGTTTCGAGGCGAACGTCACTGGGTTTTAGTCCTAGAATGAAAATCTATTCCGGAATTCAGGTCAATCCAGCTAATGAATCACGAATAGGATGAAATGCTCATCGTGGGTCTCACTGATAGCTACTCGACTTTTTTTATCAAAGTGAAAATTTTAAGATAGATTGATAATGCTTCTTCGTTATACTTCTCAAAAGTAGACATTATGTCACAAGATCTTTCGATTAGTATGGTTCATTTCTGTTGTCTATTCTTTCATATCGGTAAATATACTTATGTTCAAAAACTTGTCATACTTATTTGTACAAAAAAATTGTTACAGTCACATACTGATGTTAATTAGACAATCATTGACAAATAAAAAGGTAATGAGTAGTTTTTTCTTCTTACTATGAGAGTTCTCGATAGTGACCATCCACGACTCCGCTAAAGATGTAACTCAGATCTCTCAGTGAGTGCTTTGTTTCCAGACCACTGAGCTTAATCAGTCAGTATGTCAGAATTAGCAGTGAGCTTTGAATGTATGTGCGTTAGAACATATTCACATACTACATCTTTATACCAAGATGAAAGTAACAAGATAAATAACTAACAAGTCAAAGATTTTAGGTGAGAGTCCTAGAAAATGGAATGAAAAAGTATGTATGAAGAAATACTGAAAATTCAGATCTATCAAGAAATAAGGAATGATTGTATCTCTCTTACTGTGGCCATTTCTAAACCATATCACTTTACGTCTTCAATCAATAATCTCGGTTATCGAATGAAGCCCTTAGATAATTTGTATTTAACAGTATAGGTCAGAAAAACAATCACTGGCCATCATCCACTATCTTAAATGATACTTTTCTTACATCATTAACATAATAGAACTTCATCTTTTACAACTTCAGTTCAAATGTGTTGAGACTGTGTACTTGTAATCTTAAGAGAAGTGGTGTTCCCTGATGGATTCAATCGCGTGTCACCTAGCTTCACAGTTAGAGACGTTACCACCAGGTTATCCGGGCCGCGACTAATTTCTTGTAGGACTGAGATGTACTTACAATTGATTGATCACTGGGTGGTGATCAATGTCCTGTGTGTCAAGTCCTTCTCAATGCAGATCGAAACCTGGGTCCAGAGTTTCCTTTTGACTCCCTCCAACCACCATCTTATCTCAACATAGTGCACGCAATGTCGAGTCACCTAGACTAGTGATCACATTGAAACTTGGTCAGTAGGATTCAATCTACATTAAGAAGGATCTGACACACGTTATATTGATCACCACCCAGTGATCAATCAATTATTAAAATGTTGTCCCATATATCTGAACTAAATATCTATTAGTTATTCTAATAGATGAGATCATGAGTCAATTGAATCTAGACCACCATAGAAAACCTGAAACCACTGGAAGGCCGTTTCGTTCCATGGTGGGACTCCTCAACAATGCACATCCACGATTCCTCCTCGAGAGATTCGAACTCAGGACCTATCAGTCGCGCACGCTGCTGAGGAGTCCCACAACAGGATGAAATGGCTTTCCAGGGTCTTCAGGTTTTTTATGGTGGTCTAGTTTCAAGTAACTCAGAAACAGGGAAGAAAAAAGAGAAAAAACATTTTTCTTTAAATATTGAACTTAATCTTGATGAATTTCTTGAAAATTCTTTTCTTTTTTTTCTTATTTTTATTCTAAGATTTTCAATGAACATCTTCCATGGTTAAAATATAATAAACCAAATTTACCAGATTCAGAAAAAGATCGAATTAATAAACGATCTAATAATCATAGTTTAAATGGAACAAATGTTAATGATCTAATGAATACATCAATGTTATCAGGCAGTACAGGACATTAATATTAATTATGATTCAGTATCATAGTAATCTAATCAAGATTCATTAATGAAATGATCCGAGTTTATTATCCTTTGATTGTTCTATTGAGATTTTTATTCATTTCACTTGATCCATAATAAAGAATAAACACACACACACACACACACATACATGTTCATTGAAATATAACAGCAAGTTGATGAATAGAAAGTTTCTTTATCATTTCGTTTATTGTCATTCAATTACAACAATATGTAGTCATTATGTTCTTTGTTGACTGACAATTTCTTTGACCCATTCAGAGTTTTGTTAATAACAATAAAGTTTTATTGATTAGGGTAACACGAAATAAAACAAAATAAAAAAACGAGCTATCAATATCATCATTTAAAAAGAAAAATAGTCATCTAGACTTTACACATTCATATACTTCAGTATTCATTCCCTCTTGTTCACATCATTACATTACATATACTCGATATATATATTTGTATGTATTAAGTTATGGGTTTGTGGTTTGCATGATAATATGCATTTCTTTTTCTTTGTTTCTGTATATCCTATTCCATCATTATTCATTTATTGTTCTATGATTCAAATTCACCGCCAGAATTTTTTTTGTTTTAGAGTTATATCAACTGAAGAAAAACACGTATTTCAAATTGTACATTATTCTTCATAGTTTTCAATTTATTATCATTATTATCACTACTACTATTACTTCTACTATTACTATTACTACTACTATTACTACCACCAGTACTACTACTACTACTACCAGTAGTACTACTACCACTACTACTACAATTACTACTACTACTATTACTAGTACCACTACTATTACTACCATTACTACTCCTACTATTACTATTACTAATATTATTACTACTACCACTACTACTACTACCATTACCACTACTACTATTACTATTACTACTACCATTACTACTCCGACTATTACTTTTATTACTATTACTGCTAATAATAATGATAATAATAATAATAACAATAAGTAGTTAAAGTTCAGTACAGATCTGCCCATTTCAAAATTGAATGAAATACATCTATAGATATTCCTTTACAGATGTCGATTAGTAACTACGTACTACATTTGAATTAATGAGAGACAAAAAAATGAAAAAAAACAATAGCAAATTTACATCATCTCTCATTAGAATAAACATAACTATTCACTATGTGTATATTTCAGTGGATATATATGTGTATTGAAGTGTGTTGATCTTGTGTTTTCCTCTTTTCAATTAAAACATTAAACTCGTTTATTGTTTCTTATTAAACAAAAAAAATAATATTCGTTTGTTTCTTTGTTTGTTTGTTTTCATGAAACGTTATTGATAAATCATTTCATTCATTTTCATACTAAATATTAATATTACGTTTATTATTCTATAAATATATACTATTTATTACTTTCTTACTCCTGTTACTCCCAATGGAGCATAGGCCGCTGACCAGCATTCTCCAACCCACTCTGTCCTGAGCCTTCCTTTCCAGTTCTATCCAATTCTTGTTCATTCTTCTCATATCTGTCTCCATTTCTCAAAGTAATGTGTTTTTTTTATCTTCCTCTTCTCCATTGACCTTGAGGATTCCATGTGAGGACTTTTGTTGTGACGCAGTTGTGTGCTTTCCTCAAAGTGTGTTCCATCCACTTCCAACGATTCTTCCTGATTTCTTTCTCTGCTACTATCTGGTTTGTTCTCTTCCACAGTAAGTTGTTGTTGATAGTGTCTGGCCAACGGATCCGAAGTATTTTGTATAGACAATTGTTAATAAACACTTGTATCTTCTGAATGTTGGCTTTGGTTGTTGTCCAAGTTTCTGCCTCATACAGTAGAACTGTGTTGACATTTGTATTGAAATTTCTGAGTTTGATGTTGGTTGAGTTGTGTTGTTTTGAGTTCTAGATGTTCTTCAATTGTAAATGTGCTGTTCTTGCTTTGCCGATTCTCAACTTCACATTTGCATCAGGTCCTCTGTGTACATCAATGATGTTGCCTAGATACGTAAAGCTTTTTACATCTTCTAGAGCTTCTCCATCAATTGTGATTGTATTGTTGCATGTTGTGTTGTATTGAAGAATCTTGCTTTTCCCTTTTTGTATGTTGAGACCTAGTGCTGCTGAGGCTGGTTCTTCACTGGTTGTCTTCTCTTGCATTCGTTGTTGCGTATTGTTTATTGCTGGATAGGAATTAACGAGCATTATATTTTTGATAGATCTTTTTTTATTCCAATGTGTCGAAATTACAGCAGCATCATTATCATTTATAATGTCATGAATTATAACTATCTGTCTTCCGACCAGATGGGAATTCATTGATTATAACTACTCACTTAAACCCCGACCGTTGGTGGTCGGGCTTGCCCATCATGATGAACCAATCGAGCTATACTGGCTAGAACGATCATTCCTCAAGGTCCTACCATTTCAGACAGGTTGGTTGACGAGTGCTAAAACTGAAAGCAGCTAACTCAAGGTCCGAAGGCGAAGTTGTACTACTAACTGTACAGAGGTGTGATGGCAGTAGGGTGTTTCCTTCAAACAACCAGCATAACAGCGATGCTGCTTTCCCACAAGGATGGGTGGGGTTAAAAATGGTTGACCCTAGAAATACACACCTCGCCTCATCCCACGGATATCCGTCTCAGGAGGTAAGGTCTCAACAAGTATGGAGCTAACACGAAAATTACTCATAAAAAGGTCTTGTGTGACCGACCTCAAGCAGTTGTCCGTTGGTCACTGCGTTCACGCTCTCAGGTCATTAAGACCACCTCTAATCAAATTTTCTTTTCAGGTACTTTTTAGGTTCCAAATGAATTTAGTCACTACTGTCGACAGGATGATTATAAATATTTTAAGTAGTATGTGAAGATTTTTCAAATAGAAGTTAATTTAAGGTACCACTTGAGTTTATGTAGACAACCATTGAAAACAAGGGAGCAATTGACAAGTGTTATATCGTAACATAATAATGGCTCTTCAATAATGCATGCACATACTCCTTCTCAAAGTCAACACTCTCTCAACCTGGTAATCATTTTTTGGGTTGGTTTTTTTTCATTTTTTTTATTTCCTTCATTTTTATATGAGTAATTGGTTCAATTCATATTTGTCCCAGGCTCTATAATTTTAACTAACTGACATAGAGCAGCTTTTGAGACATGTAAACATATTTCAAAAAAGACCACTTGTAGACCTTAGTCAAGTTTTCAAGTTTCCAAACTTCCGCTTCGTTTGATGTTTTTACTTGTATATACCGATTATTATTTCATGATTTTTAGCGTCTTCGGATATGGCTTAGAGACAAATAAAGTGATGATTTCTTCGACTAAACAACCAAAAGTCTATGGATGAATTAGCACATTTGATTAGCTATCTGAACCCAATTTCTAAGTGTAGTTTAAAGCGATGGGTGCTAAATTGAAGTTCCAGAATTCACATTCATTTTGGAATGTATTGATGAGTCCTAAACAGGATGGAACGCACTATGTAGATCCTATTACTAACCACATTCCATCTAGTTTCGATATACATCATATATATGTTTAGTTAAAATAACTATATATTGACAAAAATGAGTAAATACCAGAATATCAGTTTATTGAATCAGTATCCAAGTTTACAATAAGCAGTTCTCTCACATTTCCTCTGAACTATCTCTGTTCCATATAGACCGACTATGAATTCCCATAAATTGCTTTATAATTCACTATCGTTTCATTGATTTCATTCATAAAAATAACAATGTTCTACCTTCTTTTTCATTGTCTAAATAAACTAGGCGTATCCCATTATCTTCGATTAAAGGTGAAGATTATGATATATAAATAATAGAAGTTTATAGTTTACAATTGATTGATCATTGGATGGTGAATAATATCATGTATGTCAGGTCCTTCTTAGTATACAGATCAAATCCTATTGATCAAGTCACAATGTGATCAGTCAGTCTAGGTGACTCGACATTGTGTTGATGATGGTATTACATGAAATAGCTTATTATTTACAAGAGACTTTTATATTAGAAATGGTAGTGTTTTTGAATATTCTAGGCTAGTTTGTTGATGATATATTTATGGTTAACTGATCTGACTCTAATTTAGATGAACGTATGAATACAAATCTTCCATTTAACTCCGTTTATTACTTGGGCTAACACTGTTCATATGTTGACAGTAATAAGAAGCTCAATACAAGTTTCATTGAATGGATTTATTTCAATCATTCGCCAGATACTCGGAATAAGAAGCGGAAAATCAAAGCGGAGCTGAGAAGGTGAGTGAACCAACTCAAATTGATTAAGTATGACACAATATCACAATTGATTGATCACTGAGTGGCGATCAATGTCATGCGTGTCTAGTCCTTATTAGTGCAGATCGAATGCTATCGATCATGTTGTAATGTGGCCACCAGTCTAGGTGACTCGACATTGCGGGCACTAGATATTGAGATACTCAGAATAAGAAGCGGAAAATCAAAACGGTGCTGAGCCGAGAAGGTGAGTGAACCAACTCAAATTGATCAAGTATGACTCAATATTTATAGTCTGACAAAAATAAATTACATACATGTAATGAGTAGGGTAAGCAATTAGGACACATACGCCCATAGAAAAACAGTTAAGGTTAATAAGTAAATAATTAACTAGGTCAAAATTTGGCTTCAGAAGAATGATTAAATTCGTCTTTCTAAAAGCTAAAATAACCTGTGTGGGTTTGACATAGTACCAGATACTAAAATAGTACGTAATTTGTCAATATTTACGGAATCGGTTGGAGGGGGAAAGTAACTTATTAAAACGTCAATAAATCAATAAACTGATAAACACCTTAGACACTAATGAAAGTTGAAAATTGTATGGTACATGAACACTTGATGGAGTTAGGAAAAATTGTGTATTTCAGAACTTCAGAGCAATGCTTGGAGGTAGATGGTTGAGAAGATCGAAGAAAAGAGAACGAGAACAGAGAATGATTTATGTGTAAACGAGGGAAC